CTTCATTTTTAAAATGTCCCATTTTACACAAAAGTAGAATAATAGAATGAATCTCTGTGCACCCATCACTCAGGTTCAGCAGCGACCCGCATCCTCCAGTTGGGGGGGGTGGTTTCAGCACTGCCCACACTTATTTTTACTATCTAAAAATTTTTATGGATTTGTCTGAGAGACAGAGAGAGCTCTTAGCTGCTGGTTCACTCCCCAGATGGCCACCACAGTTGGGGCCAAAACCAAGAGCCAGGTACCAGGTGCTCAGTCCAGCTGTCCTGCGTGGGTTACTCGGACCATCGCCGCTGCTTCACAGTGTGCACGTAGCAGGAAACTGGAGCTGGAGCCAGATTTCCCACCTGGGCACTATGACGTGAGACACGGGCATCTCAACTGCTGTATTTAAAGCAAATCTAAGACATCCTTTTATTTTCCCTATAAATACCTCCCGTCTTCTGGCAGCCACGGCAGCTGAGGTTGGGCCAGGCCAGAGCCGGGAAGCCAGGAACTCCATCCAGGTCTCCCACGTGTGTGGCAGGGACCCCGGACGCCAGCTGTCACCTGCTGCCTCCCAGGGTTCGCGTTAGCAAGAAGCTGGAATCAGAAAGGGAGCTGGGACTGGAACCCAGACGCCCCGAGTGGGCTCAGATGTGCAAGCGCTGGCCTAACTGCTGCGCCAGACGCCTGCCACGGCGGGACAGTTCTTGAGAGGAGTCACTCGGGAGAAAGGGTTGAATGTGAGGGCCGCCTGGTTTTAAAGTCTGGAGGAAACAATGGATCCAGGCTAGGTCACCGCTGGCTGCTAAGCCGATTCGCTAAGATGGACGGGACAGGAGCTCCACGGCCGCCGGTCCCTAAAACAGTACAAACAGGAGGGCACTCCCGGGCCATGTGCCTCCAGTGACGCAGGAGCGTCTGGACTCTGCCCAGAGCCCTCTTCGGCCCCTGACCGGTCAAGGCTGGGCAGAAGCAGCCTCTGAACACAGCCGGCTGCTTCTCATTCTTTGCATCGTAACCTGTTCTTTTTTTTTTTTTCCCCCTTTAAGATATGTTTTTTTCTTGATCCTGAGTCATCCATGTTCATCAAACCACAGCTAGCTCAGGGAATTAAAAAAAAAAAAAAAGATGATAAGGGGTGAGGGGCAGCACATGGCGCCCTGACCTTTGACCAGGACAGAGGACACCAGGTGGCAGCTTTAATCAGGCCTCCGCGGACCAGGTCCCAAGTCCTGGGGGCACAAAGCTCACTCCACGTGGATCTGGTCCTGGGCCAGGCTGGCAGTTCCCAGCACGCCTTCTGAAACGCTCCCAAGCTAAGGAGACCAAAAAGGAGAAGAGATGCCAGCCGCGGGGCGGAGCTCCTGCCGGCCTTGGGGCCTCCCCCGCCCCCGCCGTGCCTGGACTGCAGCAGGTGGCTGCCCGCGAGAGCGTGCCGCCAGTCCCACCGGTCCTGACCCATTTCCTGTCCCCTGGCGCCTCAAGGCCCCCCTTTCCGTGCCTCCTGGACTAAGCTGCTGCTTGCTCTGGGCCCTTCTGCCACCTGGCTTTGCCCCAGTGCAGCTCCTCCCACCTGGCGCCCGCTCAGGCCTCCAAACCACACACCCTGCAGAGCCCAGAGGTGGGGCCCAGCTCCTGCCTGCTCCTCAGGCTTCCTGGTGCCCATCCCTCCCCTCCGCCCTCACCTCTGCCCCACTGCTGCCTCCCACACCCACAGCCGCACCTTGAATCTGGTCTTTCCAGCCCCCCCACCCCGTCTTTGACCCCTCGGGACCTGAACCTGCGACTCTGTTCAAACGCTTTCTTCTGGATCTTTCTGTCCTCATTTCAGTCAGTTTTGCTTTTCCTTTTCCTTCCTTTTTTTTTTTTTTTAATATATAGATTTTTTTTAATTTGAGAGGCAGTTATAGAGAAGGAGAGAGAGAGGTCTTCCATCAGCTGGTTCACTCCCCAAATGGCCACAACAGCCAGAGCTGGCCCAGGCCGAAGCCAGGAGCCCAGACTTCCATCTGGGTCTCCCACATGGGTGCAGGGGCCCCAGCACTTGGGCCGTCTTCTGCTGTTGCCCAGGCACATTAGCAGGGAGCTGGATCATAAGTGGAGCAGCTGGGACTCGAACCTGTGCTCCTGTGGGATGCCTGCGTCTTGGGGGAGGCCTAATCCCTTGTGCCACAGCACCGGGCCCTGATACCCAGTCTCCTCCCATCCTGGTCGGACCGTTGGGTGCAGAAGACCCTAAAGCTGTGTGGCTTCGTGGCTTTGGCGCTCACTGGGCCCCTCCACGCTGCCTGCAACCCCTCTGCGTCCTGCTCAGCCCCTCCTAGGCACTCAGCTGCCACAGGCCCCTCACTACTTCCCCTGTTCCTCTCCGCCTTTCTCTCACCTCTTACATCCCGGTGCACACTGAGCTGTGGGCAGCAGTCCCTCCCCACCCACCCCCAGCCCCTTCCCTCCCCTCAGAGAGGAAGTGGGGTCCCTTCCCCCTAAAGGGACACCCGCCACCTATCACCACGGGTTCTTCCCTCTCCGCGTAGCGGGCACATGGGCCGGCCTCTCTGTGAAGGGAATGCCAGTAACGGAGTTCCCGATGGCCGTGTCCTCCCTTCCCAACAGACAGACTTGACCGCCAGCACCCCTTTCATCTCCAGCTCACGCCTCAACCTGCTGCATTCGGACTGCTTTTTGCAGCCTGACAGCTTCTTCTTTGCCCTAAGCTCTTGATCTTTGCAAGAAGGAATTTCCGGCCAGCACCCCCCCCCCCAGCGCCCCCTTAATCTTAGTCCTTCCCCTCCCCCACTGCGTTCTTGTCATTCCTTCTATGGATGGCCTCCCCCCAGGGCCCTGTCTGCCCCGACCATTTCTTAAGACTCCAATCCAGATTATTCCACAAAGTAAAACTCCACGGGAGGATTCCCCCAGCTGCCAGCTAACTGCCAGGCAAGAAAATCCCCCCCTGGGTGGGTCCACCGGCTATGTTGTCCTGTTGTCCTGAACCCCTGCAGCTGCTTCGGGAAAACTCAGGGCCGCAGGTGGCGATGAGCTGGACAGCAGATACCCAGGGGCTGAGGCCTGGGTGATGAGATCCAACAGTCTACACACATCAGTGGATCCAGATACTGACTCCCTTGTAAGCCACACCGAGCCTGGAGCTGGGCGGACCACGCAGCACACGGACAGCCTCGTATTTCTTCCAGCGGTGGCCCGTGTAGACAGCTGGATTCTAGACGGCCTGGAAGCCCTGATTTCTGCCCCTGGGTGTGTTGAGTCCGTAAGTGGCCTAGGCTAGCGGGGGAGGCTGCACCTAACCAGAGCGCCACTATCTCAGAAGGCATCAGAAGAGGGGACTTTGTCCCGAAACAGCCGGGGTAGTCACTCAGTCTGCCGGGCGAACCCCAGATGCCTTTGTGTTCGGTGCCACCTGGACTGACGGAGCCTTCCCTGTGTGTCCGGTCCCCCACTGCATCTGCCGGAAGTCCCTGAGCCCTGTCTTAGGGAGGCTGATGTCCCTGTAGGACAGACTCGCCTGCGGCCCAGTCCTTGCTTCTCTCCCGGCCCCGACTTCCTGAGGGGTCCTGCCCTCAGCACACGTGGAGCTAGGATGGTGCTTGAGACCCCTCCTCTGCCTGGCATTTGGGTCTCAGGAGGGGCTGGCTGGGGCCGAGGCGGCAAAGGCAGGGAGGAGAAGGAATATTGTCCGGGCCCCTCTCTGGAGCAGCAGAGTGTTCTGGCTGGCCCCCCCCCCCCCCACGTGCCGAGTTCTGGATTCGTGCCTGCGGCACACAGGGGTGCACAAGTCTGAGCCAACACCCCATAGGCCATCGTTGCCCCCGCTCCAGCTGTTAAAACTTTGCACCAGGCAAGTCAAGGGCAACAGCCAGAGCGTGTCCCCGCAGTGGCGTGCTGTTTGTGTCTTTCAGACGGAGGTGCCGTGGTGAAGGCCCGCGTGCTGACCTGTGTGGAGGGCCTGAACCTGCCTTTACTGGAACAAGCCATCCGGGAGCAGAGGGCCTACCTGCAGGAGAGGCTCAGCGGCCACTAGGCCATTGCAGCGCTGCCCAGGAAACCGCGCACACCCCTGCTCCCGCGGCCAGGCCCCTGGAGCCCCTGGAGCCGCTGGAGCCCCTGGTGCCGCTGTGCCTGCAGCCTCTGCCTGGAGCCGGAGTAGATGAACCAACCCCCAGCCCTTCCCTCTGATTTGGGATTGTCCCAGGAATAAGAGCCCAGAGAACAGACAGCAAGGTCTGAACCCCCCACTCACCAGCCCAGAGAGTGCAGGAGACCAAACTCTGGGGTGCTGGGGCTGAGATTATGTGGGGGCCATGGAGGGTTCCAGAAACTTCTTGTGAATAAAGGCCCAGCCAGTGGGCGTGACCTGGTGAAGCGTGTGTGGTGCAGTCCCGGCAGGGTCCTGGAGGGGGCGCCGTGGAGCAGGCAGCGCCCCTGACTGAAGCTGCAGCCCGCTCCTGGACTGGGGACCTGAGGAGGAAAGCGCTGGGGGCCCAGGGGCCTGAGGTAGGGGCCTGGGGAGCAGGGGGCCACCCTGGCAAGGTTCCACCCTCGCAGGAGGCTGCGCCTCTCCAAACAGGCTGGGCCGAGGCCTTGGGCCCTGACCCTGTGGCCACAGGCGGGTCTGTGGCTTCAGAAGCCCCTCCTGGCTCCTACCGCTGCCCCCAGTGGCCCTTGTCCCCTGGACGGCCCTTCCGGACAGCCTTGTGCCCGGAGAGCCGGGGCCTGGCTGGGCAGAGGCAGGGCCTCCCGCAGAAGTTTGGGCCCTCCTGCATTCCGTAGCCAGGCTCTGGGCTTGAGGCCTAGGGGTCCTGGCTGGGCTGGGCTGGGCTGGGCAGGGGGCAGCCCCCAGACCCCCAGGCCCAAGCCAAACTCCCAGGCAGGATGGGCTGGGGGCAAGAAGGGTGGGGAGCTGGGCAGCCTGAGCGGGGGCCGGGCAGGGCGCTACCTGGAGACTGGAGGGAGCCAGCAGGGGCGCTGGGCGTGGGGCGCCAACGGCGGGGCGCCATGTCTTTCCTGGGCAGCTCTGCGGACATGGACGTGTTCCAGAAGGTGGAGAAGATCGGAGAGGGCACCTACGGGGTGGTGTACAAGGCCAGGAACAAGGAGACGGGGCAGCTCGTGGCCCTGAAGAAGATCAGGCTGGACTTGTGAGTTCTGGGCGGCGAGGCACCAGCCCCCGGTCACTCCCTCATGCCAGCCCCGGTCCTGGTCCTGCCCGGGCGCAGCCCGACGCCCTGCCCGGCGGCCCTGCTCGGGGGAGACTGCTCGGAAAGGTCCTGGAGATGGGACTGGAACACACATGTATTTTGGGCGGGAAGTTTTTTAAAAATCATACACTCGAGGAGTCCTCAAGAGAGCTTGTAGAAAAGGTGTGTTACGGAAACGCCATGCATAGATTTCACAAACTTTTGGACCAAAATAGAAATTTATTTTTAAGATTTAATTTGTTTATTTGAAAGGCAAAGTTAGAGAACCATCTGCTGATTCACTCCCTAAATGCCGCCATGGTCAGGGCTGGGCCAGGCTGGAGCCAGGAGCCAGGAGCTTCCTCTGGGTCTCCCACATGGCTGCAGGGCCCAAGCACTTGGGCATCTTCCGCTGTTTTCCCAGGCCACAGCAGGGAGCTGGATTGGAAGTGGAGCAGCGGTGGTGACTTGAACCGGCTCCCATAGTGGAGGCCAGCGCCTCAGGCGGAGGCTTAACCCCTTAAACCACCATGCCGGGCCCAAGGCTTCTCTTTTAATTCCGTTTCCATGAACTCTTGGAAGTGTCCAGGGAGCACAGGTCCCCGTTGTGGGCGACAGGCCACCTGCACGGGCGTGAGGGACACGGAGTGAGTCGGAGGGGCCAGAGCAGCCCCGGCCTCCTCCCATCGCCAGGCCCTCTTCCCTGCAGGGAGACCGAGGGGGTCCCCAGCACCGCCATCAGGGAGATCTCGCTGCTGAAGGAGCTGAAGCACCCCAACATTGTCAGGTGAGCCGCGGAGGGCGGCGGGGAGGCCGGCGGGGGGAAGGCCGGGCCCTGACCCCTGACCCCTGACCGGCCCCTCGCGTCCAGGCTGCTGGACGTGGTGCACAACGAGAAGAAGCTGTACCTGGTGTTTGAGTTCCTCAGCCAGGACCTGAAGAAGTACATGGACTCCACCCCTGCCTCCCAGCTGCCCATGCACCTAGTCAAGGTAGTGGGAGGAGCCCGGGCCGGGCCGCCCCACCCCCCCCACCCCCACCCCACCCCACCCCCACCCCCACCGGGCCCAGCTGCCCCGCTCACTCCCGCGCTCTGGCCACAGAGCTACCTGTTCCAGCTGCTACAGGGCGTGAATTTCTGCCACTCGCACCGGGTCATCCACAGGGACCTGAAGCCCCAGAACCTGCTCATCAGCGAGCGGGGCGCCATCAAACTGGCGGACTTCGGCCTGGCCCGGGCCTTCGGGGTGCCCCTGCGCACCTACACGCACGAGGTATTGCAGGGCAGGGGGGCGCGGGGGCTGGCCCGCGGGGGCTGCCCCGCGCGGAGCCATCTCCTCGTCCTCACACAGGTGGTGACCCTGTGGTACCGCGCCCCCGAGATCCTCTTGGGCTGCAAGGTCTACTCGACGGCTGTGGACGTCTGGAGCGTCGGTTGCATCTTTGCAGAGATGGTAGAGAGAGGCAGGCCCGGGCGCGTCCTGCTTGTGGGCGGGCGGGGGCTCGCTGATTGTCTTCTAGGGGTGGGTGCGGGGTGTTGGGGACTGACTGCTGGACTGAGCAAGCCGGCCTTATTCTGGAAAGCTGTCCTGAAGGGCCCTCTCTGGTCGCTTAACGGGTAGAGGCTGAACTTCCCTTTTAGGAACCGCTTGGGCCCAGATGTGCTTCTCATTTGGGATTTTTTTCAGATCGTGAAATATTTGAGGACAGAACCTAAGTAAACATGAAAGTCATTTATATAGCCTGCATATAATTTTATACAATATTTTTAATGTTTGTTCATTGATTTTTTTCTCGAAAAGCAGAGTGACAGAGAGAGAGAGAGCGAGCGAGCGAGCAAGCTTCTCTCCATCTGCTGGTTCACTTCCCAAATGCCAGCAATGCCAGGGCTGAGCCGAGCCACGGGCGGGAGCCCGGAACTCCACCCAGGTCCCCCACATGGGTGGCAGCCGTCTCCCGCTGCCTCCTCGAACCTGTGCTCTGATACAGGACACGGGCGTCCCGAGCAGGGTCTTAGCCATTGTGCCAAAGGCCCACCCTATGCAGTATTTTCACTGCACCTGCATCCCGACTGTGACCCATCGTGTGGGGTGGGGTGGACTTTCTCCCCTTGGGACGTCTGTCAGCACTCTGAAAGTTTGGGATTGGGGAGCATTTCTTTTCTTTTCTTTTTTTAAGATTTTATTTATTTATTTAAGAGGCAGAGCCACAGAGAGAGGGAGAGACAGAGAGAGGTCTTCCATCTGCTGGTTCACTCCCCAAATGGCTGCAACAGCCAGAGCTGAGCCAATCAGGAGCCACAAGGGTTTTTTTTTGGGTCTCCCACGTGGGTGCAGGGGCCCCAAGGACTTGGGCCATCTTCCACTGCTTTCCCAGGCCATTAGCAGGGAGCTGGGTCGGAAGTGGAGCACCCGGGCCATGCGCCCTGAGCCAGTGCTTATATGGGAGGCCGCCAGTGCAGGCGGCGGCCTTACCAGGAGTTTGGAGCAGCTCTGACTTCAGACGTCTGGATTGGCAACGCCCAGTCTGTACTGGATTCTGTCGCGACGTCGTCTCTTCTGCTCCGCTCCAGGTGACGCGCAAGGCCCTGTTCCCCGGTGACTCCGAGATTGACCAGCTCTTCCGTATCTTTCGCACTCTGGGGACGCCCAGTGAAGCCACGTGGCCAGGGGTCACCCAGCTGCCCGATTACAAAGGCAGCTTCCCCAAGTGGACCAGGAGGGGGCTAGAGGAGATAGTGCCCGACCTGGAGCCAGAGGGCAAGGACCTGCTCGTGGTAGGTACGGGGGCAGGAGACGTCCCCTTGGGCAGCCGGCTTCTGTGTACCCCCAGCTCGTCCCGAGCCCGAGTGGCCCCTTCCCTCACCTTGCTCATAGCTGCCTGCCTCTGTGTGTACTGAGTTTGACCTGATAAGCCCAGTGTTCATCTTCCCTTTTGTTTATTTTTTTAAAAGATCTACTTACCTGAAAACACAGAGTGACAGATTTCCCACTTGCTGGTTCACTGCCCAAATGGTCACAATGGCAGGGCTGGGCCAAGCCAAAGCCAGGAGCCAGGAACCCCACCCTGGTCTCCCATGTGGGTGGCAGGAGCCCAAGCACGTGGGCCGTCCTCTGCCGCCTTCCCAGGCGCGTTAGCAGGGAGCTGGGTCGGAAGCGGAACTCAGACCGGCGCTCTGATGTGGGATGCGGGTGGCGCAGGTGGCGGCTTAACCCGCTGTGCCACAACGCCCACCCCTCCCTGCCCCACCGCAGCTAAGTGGCCTGGACAGGAGGGACATCGTGTGTCCTGGGCACAAGGGGGGCTGCCTCAGCTCCAGTTACCTGCAGGGCGGCTCAGGCCACGTCTCCCCTGGACTCTCCAGAGGTGCTCAGTGCTGGGCTTGAGGGTCTCGGCTCCGGGGCATGGGGGGCCGGGAGGGGAGTTCTCCTCCCACCCCCACCCCCGGCCCCGGCCGTCCCCAGGCCCCACCTGCCTCCTCCCTCCTCTCCAGCAACTCCTGCAGTACGACCCGAGCCAGAGGATCTCCGCCAAGGCCGCCCTGGCCCACCCGTACTTCTCGCCCGCCGAGCCCTCCCCGGCACCCCCCGAGTGCGTGCTGGAGCGGTTCTGCCGCTGAGGGCCCGTCTGAGGAGAGGGCGGGCTCTCGGGCGCTTGGCGTCCGTCGTCTGAGGGCTGAGTTTGGGTTGGTCCCGCCAGCTCGCTCCGGGATCGTTACTGGGTTTGATGTTGCTGTTCCCAAAAAGACACAGGTGCTTCACGCAGGAGGGGGTCGGCTGGAGATCCAGCCCCTGGCACCGGAAGAGCAGGTGCCAAGGTGGGAGTAGGGAGCCTGCGGCAGCTGTGGACAGCGCTCCTGGGGCCCTGCCCTGCCCGCAGCGGCGCAGCCAGGCCGAGGGAAGGGTGCCCCCTGCTGGTCTTTTTGGATTTAACACGTTTTGGGGAAGCGTTGAGCTCCAGTTCAGAGTTCCAAGTTAAACCAGGGGGCGAGGGACTGATGTCAGCGGCTGTCACCTCGCCCAAGACCCACGGATGGTTTGCCTGTGTTGACCACTGAATAAACGTGAGATTGGCTGCTTCTGTCCACGTCGTGGCTTACTGACACGGAGGAGACTGGCACAGGGCTGGAGGCCCGAATGAGAGCGTGGGGAGAGGAGGAGGGGGGTGGTGCCCCTGTGTCCCAGTCCTGGGAGAACGCCCCCTGCCCCCCACACCCAGGCAGGCGCCCTGGGGACGTCCAGTCCCGGTGCTGTCCCTGTGCCCAACCTCAGGCTCCTGCAGGAGTAGACAGGACACGCCACTGGGAGAAATCGTTTATTGGAAGCACTGGGTAGGGGAAAATCGGAGCTGCTGGTTTCCTGGGCTGGGGATGGACCTGGCACCGAGGCGAGGGGCGGGAGCCCACCACCACCCACAGAGGCGCACGGCTGGGGGGGCCCTGCCTGGGATCAGGCTGCTGCAGGGACAGGGTACATGTGTCCTCCCCGGTCAGCGCAGGGCACGCGGCAGGCTGGGGGAGGCCACGCGGAAGCAGCGGTACCCCTCCAGCGCGGCGGGGAGCAGCAGCAGGCCGCTCAGGGGGTCCCTGCAGCAGCGCCCCATGGCCTCCTTGTAGCTCAGCCGCTCCTTGGAGATGGGGTCGGTCAGATCTTTCTCGTAGCTGGACTCGTCCTGCAGGAGCCGGGCCAGCTCCTCGCTGATCATCCCGCAGAGCACGGCCTGCGGGACGGGGATGCGGCCCGTCCTCTTGGGGTCGATGAGGCCCCCCGTCAGGTGCTGCACCTGCAGGTGGGGGAGCACGCTCTCCTGGGGCACCCAGCCTTTCTGCACGGCCTCGCCCACCGACAGACGCTTCTTGGAGACGGGGTCCTCGATGCCCGTGAAGGCCTTCTGGGCGTTGAGCAGCCGCTGCGTGGCCGTGGTCTCGATCAGCCCCCTCTCCACCGCCTTGTGCACAGAGTAGCGCTCGCGGCTCAGCAGGTCCACGATGCCCCCCGTGGCCGCCTGGGCCTCCAGCAGCTTCTGCCCAGTGATGGGGTCCAGCATGTTCTTGGCCACGGCCGTCTTGATGCTGCACTTGTTGTCCGTGGTGGTGTCGTAGACCCCGGCGATGGGGAAGCTGTCGTCGGCGAGCCCGAAAGAGAAGCCGGGGGAGGCGAGCGGGGACTTGGAGATGATGGAGCCGATGGAGAGCGAGGAGCAGGGCTTGGTCTCGCCGGCCACGAGCAGGGCGAACTCGGAGATGGGGAGGCGGCCGTCGCGGTACAGGTGGAACTCCTCCTTGGAGATGCGCCGGCAGCGCAGGGCGGCCTCGATGGAGTACTGCTTCCCGCTCTTGCGGTCCCGCAGCACAGACTCCTCCCCGCAGGGGCCCGAGGTGGTGACCTCCTCCCAGTCACACTCGAGCTCCTGCAGCTGCAGGTACTGGCCGCGGTCGATGACGCCCCTCTTGTAGGCCTCGTACGGGGACATGTCGGCGCCCGTCTCCGGCTCCAAGATGCAGATCCTGGTGGAGAGGTTGGTCTCGCGCGTCTGGGTCTCCTGGCTGAGCTCCTCGCGGCTCACCCTGGCCTGCAGGTCGCGGAGGGTCCTCTCCTTCTCGTGGAGCTGGTCTTTCTGCCGCAGGATGGCCGCCTCGAGCTCCGAGAGCTCCCGGCCCCGCTGGGCCGCCTGCTGCCGCTCGCTCTCCGCCTTCTCGCTCTCCGTCTTCACCTCCTCCTGCAGCCGCAGCGCCTGCTGCTCCAGCTCTCGCAGCTGCTGCCGCAGCCGCCCGCACTCCTGGCTCGCCTGCTCCCGGGCCTCCTGCAGCTCGGCCTCCTCCCGCGACCAGGACCGCCCCAGCGCCTCGGCCCCGTCGATGCGCTCCCGCAGGCGCCGCGCCTCCTCCTCCCGGGCCTGGCGGGCCGAGCGCGCCCTGCTGAGCGCCTCCCAGGCGCGCGCCCGCTCGCCCTCCAGCGCCTGGTCCTTCTCCACCCTGATCACCTCCTTGTAGATGGTCTTCTCCTGCGACTTGGCCGTCCGCAGGACGTCGATGCGGACCTGCAGGCCCTGCGACTCCCGGCGCAGCTCGGCCGCCCGGGCCTGCTCGCGCTGCAGGTCCCGGCGCAGGGCTTCGGCCGACTTCTCCACCTCCGGGTCCTTCTCCAGCTTCACCAGCTCCTCCGTGATGATCCTCTCCGGCCCGGCGCGAGGCCGCTGCTCCAGCTCCTGGACGCGCAGGGTCAGCCTGCGCAGCTCCCGCTCCACGGCCAGCTTCTTGCCGCGGTCCTCCCCGAAGCTCAGCATCCCTTCCTGCTCCTCCACGGCGGCCCGCAGCTGCTGCACCTCGCGCTCCAGCTGCCGCCGCCGGCCCGCCTCCTCGTCCAGGCTGCGGCTCAGCCGGCTGTGGTCCTGGTGCAGCCGCGGGTCCCTCTGCGCCACCACCACCTCCCGCACCACCAGCTTCTCCTCCGGCCGCCGCCTCTGCAGCAGCAGGTACTTGCTCTGCAGCTCGTGGAGCGCGTCCTCGGCGGCCCGGCGCTTCTGGGCCGCCTCCCGCAGCTCCTGGCGGAGCCGCCCGGCCTCCTTCTCCAGGACCGGGTCCTTCTCGTGCCGCACCACCTCCTTGGTCACCGTCTTGGTCTCCACCTTGGCCCGCTCACGCCTCCAGGCGTCGCGCTCGCCCTGCAGCCGGATGAGCTGCTCCTGGGCGCGCCCGTTGGCGTTCACCAGCTCGTTGAGCTGCTCCTTGAGCCGGTCGACCTCGCGCAGCACCTCGGGGTTCTTCTCGTGCCTCACCACCTCCTGGGTCACCTCCCGGAACTCCACCGCGGGCTTCTGGGCCCGCAGGACGGCCAGCTCGGGCAGCAGCCGCCCCACCTCCTCCTCCACGCGGCTCCTCCGGCCCGCCGCCTCCTGCAGCTGGGCCCGGAGCCGCGTGATCTCCTGCTCGGTCTCGGGGTCCACGCGGAGGATCTCGTGCACGCGCTCCTGGAGCTGCACCTGGGGCTTCTGCGCCGCGGCCACGCTGTGCCGGCCCCGCAGCTCCTGCAGCTCCCGGGCCAGCGCCGCGTTCCTGCTCCTCTCCTCCTGCAGGAGGCTCCGGAGCCGGGAGGACTCCTCGAGCAGCCCCGGGTCCTGCTCCACCGTCTTCACCTCCTTCACGATGACCTTGGGCTCCACCGCGCCGATGGCCCGCTCCAGGTCGGCGATGTGGGCCCGCAGCCCCGCCGCGGCCTCCTCGGCGCCCTTCCTGCGCGCGGCCTCCTCCTGGACCTGCCGCCTCAGGGCCCCGGCTGCCTGCGCCATTTCCGGGTCCCTCTCCACCTTGACCACTTCCTTCACCACCACCGTCTCCTTCACGGCGGCCTCCCGCCGCTCCAGGGCCAGCAGCTCCTCCTTCAGCGCGGCCAGCCGGGCGCCCACGATCGCCGCTCTCCTCCTGCACCTGCTGGATCTCGGACGCCCAGCTGGGCTGCCTGGCCTGTCCAGGCTGGGGTCCCGCTCGACGCGGGTGACCTCCTTGGTCAGCAGATGGGGCTGCCTGGCCTTCCTCTCGCTCTGCAGCCGGGCGAGCGTCTGCGCCGCGGCCTCCAGCTCTGCCTGCAGGCCGGCCCGCCTCCTGCCCTCCTCCTCCACCTGGGCCTGCACCCTGGCCAGGCTGCTCTCCAGCTGCGGGTCCCGGTAGAACTCCACCACCTCCCTCTCCTCCAGCCTCTCCACGGGCGGCTGGGTCCGCAGCCGCAGCAGCTGCGCCCGCTGCTCCTCCAGCTCGCGCTGCACCCGGGCCACCCGCTGCCTTTCCTCCTGCAGCTGCGACCTCAGCGTCTCCGACTCCCTCCCGGCCTGAGCCGGGCTCGCCTGCTTGGCCTCGCTGAGCTCCTTCTGCAGAGCGAGAGGGAGAAGGCTTAGCTCCGGGGGCAGGGGGAGGGAGGATAGGGCTCCCTCAGTCTACGCCCCGCCCTGACATCAGGGGCCCCTGCCTGCTTCCCGAGACCCCCGGGGGTCCCTGGAGGTGGAGCTGAAGACCTGAGACGCGTGGACGTGGGATCCAGAAACCCAGCCAGTGGTACTATGTTAGGCGGCCGTCAGGCCAAGTTGCATTCGGAGGTGTGAACTGAGGGGGCTCTGCCTTCTGAAACAACTCCCTTTCCTCCGCCACCCAGAAACGGGGCCGTCCTCCCCTGGGGGGCGCTAGAGTACGGCTGGACTTAGGGAAGCCACCGAGTCACCAGCAGCCACGGCGAGGGACAGAGCCCCAGGTGGCCTGGCCCCAGGGTGGAGCCTCGGGGGGGGGTTGTCTGCTGTCTGGGCTTGCAGGGCCTGTCCCCCTGCCCAGTGGCTAAGCCGTGACCACTCCGGACCCACCCTGGGGCGACTGCAGCCTGTGACACCTGCTGGGGGGAGAACGGGCGAGAGGCGGGTGGGGGGGGAGGGGGGACCCTCGCCCAGCCGGCGCGGGCGGCGTCTCTACCTTCTCCAGCATCTTTCTAGCAAACTCCAGCTGCTGCAGCTGCTGCTGCTGTGCGGCTGCAGCCTCGGTGTAGGCCTTGGCCAGGTCCTTCTCCTGAGAGGGCAGAGGGCGGGCGGGGGCGGGGTCAGCGCCGGCCTCAGGGCAGCAGCCCTGGCGGAGGGACGGGCCCCGCCTCACCTGGGCCTGGACGCTGTCCTGCAGGGGGGCCACTCGGGGCTTCTTGGGGGCCGACGCTGCCAGGGAGGGCTCCAGGGAGCAGCGGTAGGTGTCTGCCTGCAGCTGATAGTCCTGAACAGGGGAGAGAAACCGGCTGCGGGCAGGGGGGTTCGCTGGGCCGGGGGAGGTGGGGCTGGGAGCGCGAGGCGGGCGCTGGAGAAAGAGAGACACGGGCAGTGAAACCGCTTACCTGGAGAGCCGCCTGCAGGTCCTGGGCGAGGCGGGACACCGTGGCGCTGTCCTGCTGCCGGCCCTGGATCTCCTGCACCAGCCTCTGGCGGGGAGCAAGCGCGGGTCAGAGCGCTCACGCAACACCCCGCGCCTGCCTCTCCCACCCACACCTGCTGGGGGCCGCACCCCCGCCCCGGTCCATTGCTGGGGCAGAGCGGGGCCCTGACAGGGCTGAGGAAGGGGGTGCAGCAGTGGCCAGCAGCCCCAGGACCTCGCCTGGGCCTGCATCCCACTGCACACCTGGGAGTCAGACAAGGGCTGGCGGCCTCAGAGCCCCTTCGAGCCTTGGCCGCTAGGGGGCGACATTGGTGCAGGCAGCTGTCCCTGGGAGGGAGGCCGTGGGGTAAGGGGGGTGGACCTGGCCCCAGCTCGGGTACCTGTCGCCATGGTGACCCCCGCCCGCCCTCACCTTCTGCGCTTGCAGCTTGTAGGCGATCTGGCTGGGTCCGTCGTCCGGTCGCACCTGGGTCTGGGGCAGGTGCTCCAGCCAGGAGCGCAGGCTGTCCCTGCAGTTCTTGAACCGCTGGTAGGTGAGGCCGGTGTCCTGCACCATCTTCTCCCTGCGGGGAGGCCGGGCCCAGAGCAGAGGTGACAGCCGCCCTCTGGGGACAGGTGTGCAGAGCCTGGGGGAGGCTGGGGGCTGCCTCGTCCCTGGGTAGCTCGGGAGGCCTGAGCCACCCTCCTCACCCTGTGCTGGCTGGGGTTCAGAAGTGGACAACAGGCCGGCGCTGTGGAAGAGCGGGTAAAGCCACCGCTTGCAGTGCCAGACTCCCACAGGGGCGCTGGTTCAAGTCCCTGCTGCTCCACTTCCGATCTAGCTGGCCTGGGAGGGCAGTGGAAGATGGCCCAAGTCCTTGGGCCCCTGCACCCATGTGGGAGACCCGGAAGAAGCTCCTGGCTCCCGGCTTCGGATCAGGCCAGCTCCAGCTGTTGCGGCCATTTGGGGAGTGAACCAGCGGATGGAAGACCTCTCCCCCTCTACCTGTGCCTCTGTCTCTCTCTAACTTTGCCTTTCAAATAAATAAATAAATCTTAAAAAAAAAAGTGGATGACAGCTGAGTGCTGTTATCACCCCAATTTAGAGGGGCTGGAACCGAGTCTCAGAGAGGTGAAGCCACCAGGCCAGGGTCACACAGCCCGGGTCCCACGGGCCCCCGGGGCCCAGCCGCTCACCGCAGGTCCAGCTGGTCCCCCACGGCGTGGTAGCGGTCGGTGAGCACCCGCACCTGGCGCTGCTGGCGCGGCAGGTCTTGGCAGAACTCCTGGAAGTTGTTCTGCAGGGCGCTGCACGCGTGCTCCGTGGCCTGGAGCTCCCGGTGCAGGCCCAGCACGCAGGCCTGCTGCTCCAGCAGTGCCCTCCGCTGGCGCTGGGGGGCGGGGAGAGCGTCAGGACGCCATGTGCCGCCAGGTTCCCAGGGACGCCCGCCCGCGTGGAGCCCCAGCCCGGCCGCTCATCACCTGCAGCTCCACAGCCCTCTCCTGCAGCGCCCCGGGGTCCCCGGAGAGGGGGGTCTCCTGCGCCAGAGCCAACTCGAAGCCCTGGATGACCTTGTTCGCGTCCCGGATCTGCCGTTCCAGACCCAGGGCAGCCTTGGCTCTGCCGCAGAGGAGGGAAGGGTCAGCCGCCCCTCGGCTGCCGCCCACCGCCCACCGCCCACCGCCCACGCAGCCGCCCTGTGGCCAAGCACTCACTTGTCCCCGTACAGGTGGCACAGCACCTGCACGTCGCTGTACTTGTTCTTGACGCTGTTGAGGGCCACGGGCAGCTGCAGGGCGGCGGGGCCCACGGGCTGGGCCCTCAGCAACTCCTCGCACTGCAGCTGGGCCGCCTCCTTCTCGGCTCCCAGGCCCTGCAGGCGCTGGGCCGTGCCCTGGGGAGGGGCCCAGTCAGGGATCTCCGGGTGGAGCGTGGGGGTCCCTGCCAGTCCCTGCATGCTGATCTGGGGCGGGCCGACCTCTGGGACCCCCGGTCTCCTCATCTATGCATGACTGACGGGCGGAGGCCGGGCCCCTGGGCTCAGGCGCTCAGCTCAGTCGCTGCCTTGCTCCCTGCACTGTCACTCACGGGTCAGGCAGCCCAAGCCCGGCTTGGAGCACTCGGGGTCACGTCGGTGCCCGCTCGCCAGGCTCTGCCCTACCCGGCTTCTCACCACGCCGTGGCAGCTGCTGCGAGCCTATTTGGGCATGGCTGTCACCACTCTGGGGAGCCAGGGAGCTGCTAGGGTCGGCCGAGGCTCTGCTGGGACCACCGCCTGGCACGGAGCGTCTGTCCCCTCCCTTCCACGGGTGTGCTGGCCGCCAGGCCCCTGAGGCACACCGGGCCCCCGCGGAGCAGCCGCCTCCTAACACTCCTCCTGCGGGCTGCCCAAGAATGTGGACAGCGTGGTTCGAGTGCTTGAGGACCAAACACAAACGGTGTTATTTGAACAGAAACCGGTTTGGAAACCACAGTGCCCCTCGAGTGGGGAAGGGCGGCTTTGGCCGGTGGCACGTTCGGGGCGTTGGGTTCCCATGCAGAGAGCGGGCAATGCTGCAGCCTCCCCTCCCCCTCCTCCCTGCCCCAGTGATGCCCCACTGCTCTCCCGCGGCTGCCTGCACACCGGCATCACCACCCACATCCGCAGCTCCACCCCCTTGCACCTGAAGCCACGGCCCACATCTGCAGCTCCACCTCCTTGCACCTGAAGCCACAGCCCACAGAGGTCAAGGGACTTGCCCGAGGGCACAGAGCCGTCAGTGGGAGCCAGGAGGGCACCCTCTTGCCTCAGCCCTGGACGCCCACTCCCCTCCTGCACCTCGGGCCCAGCAGCTGCTCTGCTCTTGCCTGCCCCTAAAGTGTGTGCCCCTGGGGGTAGGGGTGGCCACGCCCACCCTGCTGCCCCTGCCCGCGCGCTCACCCACCTCGTGACTGTGGATGCGGCCCTCTAGGTCCTCCAGCGGGGCAGTGCGGCTCAGCGGGGCCCGGGCCCAGGCCAGCACCTGCCTCTCCGTCTCTCCCAGGTCCGTGTCCAGCTGGGTCATCCGTGTCAGGAGCTTCTGGGCCTGTGGGTCAACTGGGGCCGAGCCACCTGGAGCTGAGGGCAGAGGTGCTGGTGAGGGCCCAGGGCGGGCCACAGAGCGTCCTGGGGTGGGGGTGGGGCTGGGAGGGGGATGGGCAGCCTGGACATGGAATCCCCAGAGCAGGTGTGCCGAACCCCAGGTCATCCCCTGCCCACACAGCCCCCAAAAGTGCCTGAAGTAGGGCCCTGTCCCCTTTCTCCCAACAACCCTCCCCCCGCCAGGCAGCCCGGGTACCCTGCTGGCCAGGCCGTGGGGGCTCCTCAGCGCTGGACTTCAAGTCATTCTGGACCGCGGCCAACTTCTGCTTCAGGGTCTGCAGCTCCGAGGCCAGGCTGCGACAGGGGGGGATCAGAGAGCGCCGGGCCCCCTCGCTGTCCCTCCCCAGCCCTGGGGGTCGCTGCCCCAAGAGACCGCAGCATTTGGCCCAGGGGCTGGGGGCACCGGCCTTGGACGCCACCGGGCCCACTCTGCCTCTGGAGGACACCTGGGCAGACCCACCTGGAGGCCCTGGCCACAGCTTCAGGGTCCGGCGCTGGGATGCAGAAGCAGGCGGCGGGCGCGCTCTTGATCTCCCCACCAGGGCCCCGCACGACCCAGGTGTGCGGGTCAGTGTTGTCCATCAGCGTGTACTGTTCCCCGCGTTGCAGCTGCACCTGCAGGGCCAGGGCCAGGGGCTGGCGAGAAGGCCGAGGCCAGGACGGGGTAGGGAAGGGAGGTGCTGGGGTGGGGGGTGGGGGGACAGGGGCAGGTCAGAGGTATGATGGGGCGGGGCAGGGGCTGGGTGGGGGCAGGGACAGGGCGGGCCTGGGCTGGATGGGCGGAGCTTGTACTTCTCCTGAGTCCCAGTCACAGATGCTGTCCACGTGCAGGGTCTGCTGGGGCGGGCTCCTGCGCTGTGGCAGGGGGGCCACCTCCTGGCACTTCTTCTGCAGCTCCCCAATGGTCCTCTCCGCCACAGCCAGCTGCTTCTCCTCCGCCTGCCGGGGCCCAGGCAGCGGGGGCTCTGGCTGGCATCACCACAGCCCAGCCGCCACTCACCACCCCCAGGGGCTGGGCTTGGTCAAGGCCAGGTTGTGGGGCAGCGAAGTAAAGGTGGCCCCTCCCCGCAGGCCCGGGGCCCTGGGATCTGCTGGTTGGAGTGAGGGGTTGCCCAGCCCCACCCAGGCCTCCGAGTGGGAGCTGGAGGGTCTCAGAGCCCCACCAGGCTGCACCTGACACGTTGTGAATGAGGGTCAGAGCATGGAGCCTTGCAGGGTTCAGGCCAGCCCTCTCCTGCCCCCTCGTGGGGATTTGGGCGGGGCCTTGGGGCTGTCTCACCTCCAGCTGTCGCAGCAGCTCTGTGGGGGCGCCAAGGGGGTCCCCAGGGGCTGGCCTGTACTTGGTGTCCAAGTTGGAGTTGAGCTTCTCCAGGGTCTGGCTGACCGAGTCGGCCTCTTCCTGGAACTGAGACCACGGGTGGTTGAGGGCAGAGGCCAGGGCCACCTGCAGCCCACTGACCCTGCAAACCTGTACCAGGTAAATGCAAGCCAGCTACGGCCGCCCGGGCAGCGCGGCTTTTTAAACTGGAGAACCTTGCAAAGGAGGCACCTTTGGTTCATCAGACTTCAGTTTTTCAGTGTGTCGTAAAACGCCTGGTGCCCCACCCGCCATGTAGGGCCCCGTCGCCGGCCTCCCTCCAGGGCCTGGGCTGTTCTTGCTGGGATGGACGGTGGCTGGGCTGCACCTGACCCAGCCGCAGAGAAGCTGGGAGAGCGCTTTACGAAAACACCCCGTGGTTGGACGGTATTCCAGAATTATTCTCAGTGGGTGTGAAAATGACACAGTGGGATCTATGGGAAAAATGCCCTTAAGCAAAAAAGTAAGTTTTTCCTCTTTAAAAGTGTATGAAGGGGCGGCGCTGTGGTGTAGTGGGCTAAGCGCCCGCCCGCAGTGCCAGCATCCCATAGGGACGCTGGTTCGAGTCCTGGCAGCTCCTCTTCCAATCCAGCTCTCTGCTGTGGCCTGGGAAAGCAGTGGAAGATGGCCCAAGTGCTTGGGCCCTTGCACCCACGTGGGAGACCTGGAAGAAGATCGTGGCTCCTGGCTTCGGATCCACCCAGCTCTAGCTGTTGTGGCCAACTGGGGAGTGAACCAGTGGATAGGAGACTTCTCTCTCTGTCTTTCCCTCTCTGTGTCTATAACTCTGCCTCTTCAATAAGTAAATAATTTTTTTTAAAAAAAGCGTATGAAACGGGGCCTGGTGCCGCGCCGTAGCAGGTTGAGCCGCCAGCTGCTGACATCCCACACGAGTGCTGGTTCAAGACCCGGCTGCTCCACTTCCGATCCAGCTCCGTGGAGTTTCAGGCTGCAGGCTTCTGCCGCATGGCCCAGCCCTGGCTGCTGCAGCCATTTGAGGAGGGAAGATCTCTCGCTCGCTCTCTGTACCTCTGCCTTTCAAATAAATAAATCTTAGAATAATAACAACAGAACGAAACATTCTGGGTGGAAACTTAAAAAAAGAGCCCGGTGTGCGTGTGCGTGTTTCCGCTTGGGCAGCATGGTCCTCGGGAGCCGTGTAGACGCCGTCCCTGAACCCGCCCCCTCCGGCGGCCGTTCACCCGCGTGTACTGAGCAGGGTGCTTCAGGTCCGTGGGGAAATGGTGTGCAAAGCTCAGTCGATTTTTGTGCAAATATAAAACGGAAGCACGGGCGGTGCGTGGGATCCACACCGTTTCCCGCGAACGTGCCCGAGACCCCTGCGGGTAAGCCCGCGCCTTCTGCACAGGAAGCGTTCTTTCCACTTTCAGGAGTCAGCTTTTACCACCACCACCCCGCTGGCGGGGGCCGGCCTCCTGCGCGCCCACCGGGCCCTGGTTTCCCAGGGGCCTGGGCTCATCCAACGCCCTTGGGTGGGGGTGGGGGGTGGCTCTGGTTTCCCAGGGGCCCGGGCTCATCCGGCGCCCTTGGGTCGGGGTGGGGGGTCCCTAGTTTCCCAGGGGCCTGGGCTCATCCAACGCCCTTGGGTGGGGGTGGGGGGTGGCTCTGGTTTCCCAGGGGCCCGGGCTCATCCGGCGCCCTTGGGTCGGGGTGGGGGGGTCCCTAGTTTCCCAGGGGCCTGGGCTCATCGGCGCCCGGGGGGTGGGTAGCCCTGGTTTCCCAGGGGCCTGGGCTCATCCGGCACCCTCGGGTGGGGGTGGGGGGTGTCCCTGGTTTCCCAGGCCCCCTTGGTTGGGGGGGTCCCTGGTTTCCCAGGCCCCCTCGGTGTGTGTGGTGGGGGTCCCTGGTTTCCCAGGCGCCCTCAGTGTGGGGGGGGTCCCTGGTTCCCCAGGCCCGCTCACCCGGCGCCCGGGGGGGGGTGGTGTCCCTGGTTCCCCAGGCGCCCTCGGGTGGGGGGGGACCCTGGTTCCCCAGGCCCGCTCACCCGGCGCCTGGGGGGGGTGGTGGTGTCCCTGGTTCCCCAGGCGCCCTCAGTGGGGGAGGTCCCTGGTTCCCCAGGCCCCCTCGGGTGGGGGGGGACCCTGGTTTCCCAGGCCCCTTCGGGTCGGGGCGGTGACCCTGGTTCCCCAGGCCCGCTCACCCGGCGCCCGGGGGGGGGGGTGTCCCTGGTTTCCCAGGCGCCCTCGGTGGGGGAGGTCCCTGGGTCCCAGGCCCCCTAGGTGTGTGTGTGGGTGGTGTCCCTGGTTCCCCAGGCCCCCTCGGTGGGGGAGGTCCCTGGTTCCCAGGCCCCCTAGGTGTGTGTGTGGGGGGGGTCCCTGGTTCCCAGGCCCCCTCGGTGGGGGGGTCCCTGGTTCCCAGGCCCCCTAGGTGTGTTGTGTGGGGGGGTCCCTGGTTTCCCAGGCCCCCTCGGGTGGGGGGAGACCCTGGTTTCCCAGGCCCCCTCGGGTGGGGGTTCCCAGGCCCGCTCACCCGGCGCCCGGGGCGGGGTGGTGTCCCTGGTTCCCCAGGCCCCCTCGGTGGGGGAGGTCCCTGGTTCCCAGGCCCCCTAGGTGTGTGTGTGGGGGGGGTCCCTGGTTTCCCAGGCGCCCTCGGGTGGGGGAGGTCCCTGGTTCCCAGGCCCCCTCGGGTGGGGGGGGACCCTGGTTTCCCAGGCCCCTTCGGGTCGGGGCGGTGACCCTGGTTCCCCAGGCCCGCTCACCCGGCGCCCTGGGTTGGGTGGGGGTGGTGTCCCTGGTTCCCAGGCGCCCTCGGGTGGGGGTCCCTGGCCCGCTCACCCGGCGGTAGTCCTCGACGTGCTGCAGGTGGCTCTCCTGGGAGATGCACAGGTTCAGGAAGTTCCGCCACACGGTCTTCAGGGCCTCCTGGTGGGCCTGGCACAACAGCATGGAGCCCTCGCTCTGCGTCCGGTGCACCTGCCCCGACCCCGCCCCTCGGGCAGCCCCGCGGTGGGCGGGGCCTGCGCACCTGGATGGGCCCCGCGGCCGGGTGCCCGAGCGCTGCCATGCGCTCTCCGTCGTCCTCCAGCTGGTTCACGTTCTGCTCCTGGCCCAGCAGCTCGTGCTGCTTGAAGTGCTGCGGGCGGGCAGCGTGCTGAGCGCCGGGCTGGCCCGTGCGCCCACCCCAGCCCCACCCGGCTTCTCCCCCGCCCACCTCGTACTCCCGCCGCACGCCTGCCGGGTCAGCCATGAGGTCGCTCCAGTCCTGCTCCAGGATGCGGCGCTGCTGCTGCGCCAGGGCGCCCAGCTGCCGCGTGCAGCCCTGCAGGTGCGTGTACAGGCTGCCCAGGCTCTGCCCGCGCCACGAGGCCGCCTTCTGTGCTCCGGACCAGCGGCGGTGAGAGGTGGGGAGGGCGCAGGGGGTGGCCAGAGGCCATTAGGCCGCGCTCCGGAAACCCTGGCCCCACAGGGGTTCGGGCGGCCCGGCCATGCCCGCCCCCAGCCCTCCCTAGCACCTGCTCACCAGGAGGTCCCCGTATTGGCTCCGGATGGTGCCGGCGTCCTGCCTCCAGCAAGGGGGGAAAGCACAGGCCGGTGAGGGAGAGGGCACTGTAAGATCCAGGCCGACCCCTCCCCCAGCCCTCCCCAGAGGGCGGAGGCTGGGGCAGGGCAGGGCCAGGGCAGGGGCTCACCCACCGGGCCCGCGAGGCTCCGCAGCTGCTGCCCGTAGGCCTCGATCTCCCGCTGCAGAATGTTGTGTTCGGCCACCTGCTGCTCCAGCTCCGCCATGCCTGGCCCGTACCGGCCGTCGCAGACCTGCTTCTGCAGGAGAGCCGGCCCTCAGGTCGGCCCCAGGGACGTGACATGCGCCGGGCCAGCCGGGGAGCCCCAGGGACGTGACGTTCGCTGGGCCAGCCAGGGATCCCCAAGGACGTGATGTGCGCCGGGCCAGCCGGGCAGCCCCGGGTGGCTGCTGCTTCCCAGAGGGCCCCCGCTGGTTCCCAGGACTTGGTGCTGCACCGTGAGAAGCCTCCCCTCTTAGCCCTGCCTGGCCTGCAGCCCGCAGCCTCTGTGCCTGCTGCCTGGGCAGCGACAGCCGAACGCCGGGGCCCTCAGCACACCCCCAGGCCCAGGCCCTCACCGATGCCCTCCGTAGTGAGCACAACTCCGCAGCTGGTGCTCCGAGGACAGCAGCCGTGCCCACTTGCCCAGAAAACCCCTCTCCCTGTGGCATCCCGGGAGCCCTCCCACCTCTGGGACCGCGCCATGCGCCTCCTCCTCCAGGATGGCTTCCCTGCCTGCCCTGTCTGCCTCGGCTGCCCCCTTCGCGCCGCCAGCCAGCTGTGCGTTGCCCGAGCTGCTCGGGGGCGTCTCAGACGCTGGGGAGCCCCTCACCTGCTTCTGCTCCAGCACGCGTGCCCAGTCCACCCTGGGCCCCACGCTGGGCGGCAGCACCATCTTCTCGTACAGGGCGCGGTACTCGGCACACTCCTGGGTCACCCGCTCGTGCAGCTGCTTGATGCTGCCAAGGAGGCCGCAGTCAGGCCGGGCCTGGTCTCCCCCGGGGCCCAGCGCTCCCCGCCGGGAGCCGCGCGCCCACTCACTCCTTCTCGATCTCCTCGGCCTGCGGGTGCTTGAGCCGCCGGGCCTTGTCCACGTCCAGGAAGAGGTCCTTGAGCAGCACCTCGGCCTCCTTCAGGCTGCGGCCCGTCTCCTGCTGGTGCTGCAGGGTCCGGTTCTGCTGGCCGTTCAGCCGGTCCTGTGGGCGGGCGGTGGCAGGAGCCTCGTGGGAGCCCCGCTCCCTACCCCCAGGCCTTGCTGGCTCCAGCTCGGACCCCGGATGTCCTGGCCGACCCCAGGGCTCACGTAAGCAGAGAACCTGGCTCATGGCATCCCCGGGGCAGGCGACAAGGACAGCAGGGGAGCCTGGGCCCCTCCGGGGAGCTCGCCGTGTACGTGGGGAGGGGGCAGTGAGGACAGGGGTCTGTCCACCTGCAGCGTGACGGCCACTGCTGCCCGGGCCTCACCTGCTGCAGCTTTTTCTGCGTCTCCAGGATGTCCCTCTCCACCTGGTCGGCGTTGGCTTGCATGCGGGAGATGAGCAGGGCCAGTTCCTGGGTGGCGGCCCTGGCGGGGGGTGGGGATGGACAGTGGCATATGGAAAGGCCCCTCTGTGCCCCCCTGCCCCCCCCACAGCCTGGGGACGCTGAGATACTCAGTGTGGGGGGGTAGCGCCAGCTCCTGCGAGAGGGTCCCAGGCAGGTGTGGCTCTGCACAGCAGGTGCACCCCAGGCCCTCCAGCCTCGGCCGTCTCTCTGGGCAGCCAGTGCCTGACCAGGCCCAGCCGTCTGCCCTGGTGGGTCAGGGCCCGGGAGCAGCAGCGTGTCCCCCACCCCAGCTTCCTACTGCTCAGCCTGCAGGGGGCTCTGCCAGTGTCCGGCTTCAGCAGGCACCTGGAGGGGCGGGGGGCGCCGAGAGCTGGCCGGGGAGCCCCAGGGTTCTCCAGATTCAGGCTTCAGAGCCCGGACTGGAATGTGGCTTACTGTGGGCCCACAGGGTGAGCCTGTGCTTTGCACCCCAGGCATGTAGAGCGCCTGCTGTGTGCACTCACTCACTCTCTAGGAGTCAGACCTAAATATGTGCAGGCCTAGTGCTGAAGACGCCTGCGTCCCACCCTGGACGCCTGGGTCTGCGTCCCGGCTCTGCTCCCTGTTCCAGCTTCCTGCACCCTGGGAGGCGGCCGGTGACGGTTCTGGTCGCCGGGTCCCTGGCACGCGTGTGGGAGACCTGGAGGGAGTTTCCAGCCCTGGCCAGGGGCTGCCGCAGGCATTTGGGAAGTGAACCAGCAGAGAGAGAGAGGGGAGAGCGAGCGACGCGAGCAAGAGACAGTGCGTTCCCTCTCTGCATCTCAAATGAAATAGAATAAAATAGAAGTGGGCAGAGTGGTCCCCGGGGTCACAGTCCTGGAGAAGGGGACGCCTTCACCGAGATGGACCTTAACCTGGAGCCAAAGGAGCTCCGTGGCCGAGACAACCTGGGCTTGCTTCCTTCTCCAGTGCGCCCGCTGTGTGGCCTTGGGCAAGTGACTCAGCCTCTCTGTGCCCCAGCTGCCTTGCTTGTGGAGGGCTGTGGAGTGCACTGGAAGAACTCTCCCACCTGGCGCACTCAGTGCAGAGCCCGCCTCGGGACGGTGAGGTTCTCTTCCACGGCCCTGTCGGGGCTGCCCCCTGCCTCCAGCAGTCCTGACGCACAGTAGGTGCTCAGCCAACATGGCTGGACGACTGGACTGCACAAGAGGGGAAGGGGGGCCCTCCAGGGGCTGCAGCCCTGTGGGCGGGGCCTCGCCCGGCGAGGACCTCACTGCCCTGGAGCTGCCTGCAGAGGGCGCTGTGGCCTCCCGGGAGGGCTGCTTCCCCCAGGAGCCGCCCACGGCAGCCGGCTGGGCTCAGGCGCCCAGGGAGGACACGGGGCTTAAGTACCGTTCCTCCCACCCGCTCAGATGCCCGGATCCCTCTCAGGGTGCTGGGCGCCCCCACCCTGCGCCAGCCTATCTCTGCTCTTGTCTCCACCCCTGGGACCCAGGCGGGCTGCCACCCGCACGTGCAGAGATGGTGGTCGGTGAGCAGGAAGAATGCGGCCGGGCCTGGCCGAGGTGGGTGACCCCCGGGAGGCACAGCTCCCCCTCCCCAGCACCCACAGGAAAACTCTGGAGCAAAACCTTAAGGCTCAGGATGAGAACGCTGGGCAGGGCAGCGGCTCGGGCGGGAGGCCGGGAGGCGGCACGGCCCCTCCCTGCACCCAGGCCTCCCCCGCACCCCCGCTTGGTTCTTCTGCCCACTCTGTGCCCAGGGCCCCAGGGACATCTAGCCACGCGGAAAGTTGCAGGCAGGGCCCAGAGAGGAGCCGGCTCCCCTGTCTCCCAGCCTCCCTGCGCCCCGCTCCTCAACCCTATGGCCCCCCAGGCCATCCTGGTCCCCGCCAGTGCTGGGGCTTGCCAGCTCTCCCCCGGGGCTCCTCAGGCAGCAGACGGTCCACCCCTGGGCTCTTGGACCTCAGGACACCAAACAGCAGCCCTGGGCTGGTCCTGGGCTGCCAGCTGCCAGGTGGCTGGAGCCCTTGAGGCCGGTTCCACCGGACCCAGCTCCCCGTCCCGCGCCCCTGCTCACCTGCTGTGTTTACTGGGGGAGCCCTTGGCTGGGGAGCCCTTGGGGGACCCCTTCCCATGGGCGCCTTTGCTCAGCCCCTTAAACATGGTGCAGAGATGGGTGGCGGCTCAGGCTGGGCTCGGCCGGCGGGCGGTGGGCGTGCGTCCTCGCTGGTTGTGCACTCGGGCTCTGGGGAGCTGGGGCGGGCGGGCACCCGGGAAGGCAGTTTCTGGAGGCCCCTCCCCGCAGGTGCGGCCGTGAGCGGCTGCGCCCAGGGCCGCTGCGCATGCACCGCGCTGGGCCGCACTCGGCCCGCTCCTGCACAACCAGTCTGGGAGGAAAGGGCACAGCCCGGAGGCGGGGCGCCCAGCCTGCCTGACTCCCACAGGGGTTTGGACTTGTTACACCCACACGCCCAGAGGGAGCGCGGCAGCCGTCACACCCGGATGGGGAGACAGCCGGGGCCGGGCGGCGGGGACCAGAGTCGGACCACGCAAGCACGCACAGGCTCAGGGAGCGCAGCTCAGCCCGGGGCCCCAGCCTGGGGCTCGGGGTTAGTAAACACGTCCAGCCTGCACGGAGAGGCCCCGCTATCAGGCAGGCTCCCACCCACGGCTCATGCCTGCCAGGAGAGGTGGGGCCGCCCTGCCCGCCAAGGCCTGGCTCTCTGCCCCCGACATCACCCTGACATCAGCCGTCCCGTGGCCCCTCGTGTGTCCTTGGCTCGGAGCCTGATGCAGCAGCACGTGCTTCACCAGGATGCCCAAAAGACCCTCGGGCCAGGACGCACGCCGGACGCACTCCCCCAGGTGCCCCCGGCCCTGCCTTCCCAGGGCCGCTGAGCCTTCTGGGAACCCCGGCTCCGCTACTGATCCGGCTCCCTGCTGACCAGCCCGGGAGGCAGCAGAGGACGGGCCAAGCGCTTGGCTCCTCCCCCCAAGTGTGAGACCCGGGTGGAGCTTCTGGCTCCCGGCTTCAGCCTGGCCCAGCCCTGGCCATCGTGGTCATTTGGGGAGTGAACCAGCAGATGGAAGATTTCGGTCTCCTTCGATCACTCTGCTTTTCAGATAAATAAAATCTTTACAAGAAAGTTTGGGTGGCCGCCAGTTTAATGGTGCACTCAGGGTCAGGGTGCTATAGCCTCTGTCTACGGTGGCCCCTGGGGCGGGCAAGAAGGTGGTGGGTGCCCCCAGCCCCACCTTCCCAGGCACGCATTTCCCTGCCCAGCTCGAGGGCCCCTCGTGTGCAGTCCTCGTGCAGGCAGGGCCGGAGGGGGCACGGGGAAGGGGCAGGCACTGCGTGGGGGGGCACCCCCACAGGAGACAGCCGTCACAGCAGACTGGGGGACTGAGCTGGCCAAGTGCCCAGTGGGACAGAAAGGCCCGAGTCCCTTCTGGCTGCATCTCAAGGACAAGCCCCCCAGCTCGGCCCTGGAAGGGGACCCAGGAGTGCCCTGTTCCTAGAGGAGGAGGGGCTGGCAGTGGCACTGGGGGCGGCCACGGAAGCCCAGAGAGGACAGCGGTGACCAGCTGACAAGGTGGTCCCCAGCGTCCCCGGCTCCACGCTGGGTGTGAGCTGTCGCTGGAGAGGCCGCCCGGCTGCCCCAGCCCCTCTCCCCACTTTGCTCCTGGTGACGTTTCCCTCCACCACTAGCGCTCTTGGAAGTCTCCAACACCTTAAACGCCTTGGTTAGGGGGCTGCGGGGTCCGGGCCGGCCCTCCCACCAGCCTCTTTTAGAGCCCACACACCCTTGACGTAGGGCCCTTCTGGGGAGGCGGCGGCCAGGGGAGGTGGGGCCGGGGGAGCGGCCAGGAGAGGCTCTGGGGAGCCGGAGCCGGCCGGCGGGGCGGGGTGGGGCAGCAGGCGCGGCCCAGGTCTGCAGCGGCCTCTCCCGCCCACACGGAGGCTGAGCTGATTCACTGCAGAACGAGAGGGACTTCCTGGCCCGCGCTGGGCCGAGGGCAGGACCCCAGGCCCTGGGGTGGGGCGGCGACCCCAGCCCCCAGGAATGAAACCTGGAGGAAGGAGAGGCAAGGCTGCGATTTTATTTGGAAGCGCCCCCTCCCCCAGCTGTGGTCGCCGACCCCAGTGGCCACAAGTCCTGCTGTGTGCGGCTCTTGGGCATTTGAAGGGGCCCGGCCCAAGCTGAGATGGGCTGTGTGGCTAGAATTCACACCGACTTCCTGTGGAGAAGGGACATCACGTGTGCTTCGTATCCTGTGCTGATGTGACCACTCGACGGGGTTAAGCGCAATGTGTGTGTAATCCATCTCCCGCCATTTGCCAGTTGTGGTGTGGGTCTAGGACACAGTTATGGGCGCCGTCTGCGGCTCACCGTGGACGCCCATCGGCAGTCCTGGCCTGAAGCTGGACGGGGGCCTTGACCTTCAGCCTCTGCAGGCTTCAACCTTTTAAAAAGGTTTATTAATTTGAAAGAGTAGCAGAGAGAGGGAGAGGCAGAGAAGAGATTTTCTGTCTGCTGGTGAACTCTCCGAATGCGGGCAACAGCTGGGGCTGGGCCAAGTCAGAGCCAGGAGCCAGGGACTGGCGACATCCATCGCGATCCCCATCCCCTGCCCCCTGGTCAAGGGCCTGCTTTCTTGCCCAAGACCCCAGTGAGCCCTCCCCCTCCCCTGGCCCTGGCTTCCTGCTTGACAGCAAACGATCCCGGGCGAGGCTGGCGTCTGGTGGCAGTGGAGCAGGTTAGGCCGCTGCTTGCAACGCTGCCATCCCACAGGGGCACCGCTTTGAGTCCTGGCTGCTACGCTTCCGGTCCAGCTTTCCTAACGCACCTGGGAAGGCGGCAGAAGACAGCCCAAGTCCTGGGCCCCTGCCGCCAGTGTGGGAGACCAGGATGGGGTTCCTGGCTCCTGGCTTCAGCCTGGCTCAGCGCTGGCTGTTACAGCCATCTGGGGTGTGAACCAGTGGACGGAAGCTCTCTCCCCCCAACCCTCTCGATCTTCCAGAAATATCAATCAATCAGCCTCAAATAAACATAAATAAATAAAATGACCCCCAGGGCCCCGCCCAGTCCTGTGCTCGGGCAGCTTTCAGCGGCAGCTCGCTTGTCCCCGCAGCCTGGAGCTCCAGGCTGTGTCGGTGGTCACTGCTCAGGGCCGAGAGGTGATCGGGCTGCAATGGTGTAGCTCCCAAGGCTGAGGCTGCCGCGCACGCACACAGCCAGGCCCTCACGTGGCGACACCAGCAGCCAGGCCACAGCACAGTGTGGGAAGTGCGCCTGGGCCTGGGCCCTCCAGTGCCCCTTTCTCCTCCGGCCGGGCGGTGGGGGGACTCCTGCAGGGAGGAAGTCCTTCTCCCCGCTCGGGCAGATGGTGGCCTTTGGTCCTCCGCCTCGGGAGGCGCGAGCTGCCTGCCTCCCGCGTGCTGGCCGAGGACGACAGGCTGTGCCAACGCAGGAAATGGCCTTGTTTGTCCAAGGGCTCTGCTGCCAGACCCTTGGACTGACGCTGAACCACGGCCGCTCTCCCTTACGCTGTCTCTGCCCGCTGAGGCTGGGGCCGGGGGAGGGGCGAGGTAAAGGGCCACAGGTGCAGCCGTGGGGGTGGAGGCCATGGGCGGGGCCTTCCGGGGGAGGCTCTGGGCCGGGAAGCTGCCCCCTGAGAGACAGAGTTCTGCCCAGAGCGAGGTGAAGCCGACCCGGCCCGCCTGACTGGGCCAGCGCGGGAGGAGGGGGGTAGGCGACTGTTTTTGGGGCCTCCCACATGGAGGGTCCGGAAGCAGCCATCAGAGCAAACCCCAAACACAGCCAACCCTGCCTGTGTCGGAGAGCAGGCTTCCCGCCCTGGACGGCTGGGCACGGGCAGCTGCGGGGCCTCCCCGCCGCCTCTGACAGACCTCGGCTGCCAGGTGTGCGGGCCTGTGGCGTTCAGGTCCACGACCGGGGATGTGGCAGCGGCCGGAGTCCTGCAGGCCGCGCTCGGGCAGCAGGGATGGGTGACACCCGGCCCCACCGCCAGACTGAAGAGCAGGAAGTTTCATGAGACAGACACAAAAACGCAATCCCTAACCTGCGTCTCTAGCCAGCAAGGTGGAAAGCCGGGACTGAACTGCCAAGTTCACCAGGCTACGCCTGAGACGGCTCTGGGAGAGGGAGGAGGCGGGCCCTGCGTGTGCTGTCCACCCAGGGCCTGGCGGCCCACTCACCTGGCACCTAGGCCCGCCTTCCCACAGGCACCTGCTCGCAGGGAGCAAACGCCCGTGGCTTCTTCCTCCTGAGAAGACCCAGGACACTCCCGGCCGCTCAGGCTCACGCAGGGCCACACACCAATCGGCCTCGGGCGGGACCCGTGCACCTGAGACCTGGGCTCCCGCCCCTTGCTACTGCCGCTCTTCCTGGGCAGTGTGGATGTCACAGGCTCCACCATTCCACAGGGGGAGCCTGGCTAGCGCCCGTCGGGTGCCTGCGGAGTGTGGCTCCCCTCTGGCTGGGGAGGACCCGTTCAACCCGAGATGGCCAGAGAACGCAAGGCCGCAGTTCCCGGGGTGAGCAAAACCACGGTGGAGAGACAACTCCCGTCCCCAGCCGAGGCCACGCCACCACGCAGCGGGGACTGCTGGCGAGGGGAAGGGGACCCTGCCTGCCTCAGAATCCCACCTACACAGTGAGCACCAAGGGATCAGGCTACGCCCCAGCAGCTGGGAGGGGTCCCACAGGGGTCCCCATCGGTAGTCAGTCACTGGGAGGGGTCCCACAGGGGTCCCCATCGGTAGTCAGTCACTGTTCACCACTTGGCTGTTTTCTGTAACTTGCACCAAACGTCACCTCCCGCTGACAAGAGCCCGCGCCTGTGCCAGCGGTGCCTCCAACAGCCGCAGTCGGTCTACACGGCGCTCTCCACACTGCTGTCAGGTCTACACGGCGCTCTCCACGCTGCTGGGGCCTCTCCCAGCTCCGCCTCTGGCACTCACCTAACCTAAGACCAGAGGCTGGATCCTTCCAGCTCGCGCGGCCGGGACGCAGGCGGCTGGCGGTTTATTCTGTTTTGCAACACTGATCCATTTTACAGCTAAATCTGGTTTCCATCTCCCCTGTAGCAACAAACGTCTCTGGGGGGAAAAAAGAAACAAAGCTCGAACCAACACATATTTTTGCTATCTTTGGGTATCTCCCTAGAACTCCTGAGTGTTCCAAGGATTTCAGGGCTACAGACAGCAACGTGCTGTTCAGAAATCTCGGGTCAGCTTTGTGTGTAATGAACGAGCCTAGGCGGTGACAGCAAGAGGCGGGGGCCGTGGCCCAGGGCCGATGCGGGCACAGCGCCACCACAGGCTGTCCCCTCCAGGCCGTGGCG